ACTGATATCCAATACCTGATCGTATGCTTAGACTGAAAGTGCACAATCTGATTGTCCTAGATGGTGCTGTAATTTGATTGGTTAATAATTGCTGCGAGCGAGCGCAGCGAGCGAGCAGCACACTATTTCAAACAAAAATGGGATCCCTGTGTCGCAYGATAATATTCATTTCAAAGTCGATATTTTGGAGTTTGAGGCGATGTCCATATTTCTGAGCCAGCAAATCTCTTGATCAGCGGTCCACATTTCTGAGCGAGCTTCGCTCTCTTAACGATGAAATGTTTGAAGAGGTTATATTCATCACAGTAATAATCGCTTTAGCGATATTTCTAGAGGAAGACAGTGTGTTTTTATAAGTCTTTCAGCATTGTTGACACGTTCGATATTTCGACATGGAATTCTCAGATCATCAAACAAATTCTAAGGCGATGTCTTTTGAAGACCACTCGACCTACCCGATGAAGAGACGATTTATACTCTCTGAACTAGTTACGTGTATGTGCCTGATCGAGTTTTATATTATCATAATATCAGAAGATATACAAGTTTAGGTTAAAGCAAATTATCATTGACAAGATGTATCAATTTTGATTTATAGAATCAAGTCTTAGAATCAAGTACTAACTTATATTAGCATAACATCAGATAAACAAATGACTAACTAAAAGCAAACTATCAAGTTTATACTATCATAATATCAAATAAACAAATTTATACTATGTATTTTAGGAAAGCAAATGTTGTTTTTATTTCTGTAATATCAATAAAAACTTTTAAAATCAGGCTTTCATTCGCTGAGGACTCTGCACAATCCCACAGCGCTCTTCTTAATAAAGATGTACAAACCAGTGATAAAAACTTTTCATACACGATTGTCTTTCTCAAGCATCGCAGCACTTACTTTTGATAAAAATCGCTAGTATATCAAAGTTTATCAAATAAATCTTATCAATGTTAAATGACACAGGTTAAAATAGATTCAAGCATTGGAATAAAGATTTCTATTTTGTTAAACTTCAGTTTGTGTTTTTGTGCTTTGGTATTTTTGACTACAAGTTTCAATACTGTTTATGGTTTGACATCAGGTGTTAAGGCCAAGACCAAGAAAATTAGGCTTAGGTGAGTCAATCAAACACTCTTATTCATCTTGATTCTTAATATCATGACACAGTTTTCCAAGTCAACAAGACCATTCACAGGAAGTCATTCTAAGTCAGCAATTATCTTCACATCATTTAAAAAGATGCAATGTATGTTTCAACTAAGGTATTTTGCTTTTCAAGGAACCGCATATGTACATGGAATGAAGCACTCAACAGGAAATTTTATCATTATTATGGATGCTGATTTATCTCACCATGTAAGTACCCTTCCCTCCATTTGTAAAAGTATGGAAAGTACTCTCCCCTCCCTGCTGGAAAAATAACCACCCTCCCATCCCCTACCCCCTACTGTACCAATCCTTCCCTTCTAGTGGATAGTAATGTAAGTCCCTCCCTTCCCCCTGGTAATTAAGTATCCTTCCATCCCCTGCTGATAGGTAACGTTAAACCCATCCCCCCTCCTAGTGGAAGTAATGTAAGGAGGTAAGTAGTCACATGTCCACTGCTTGGAAGTAAAATGAGTACCCTCCCCTCTCTTGCTAGAAGATGAAACTCGGAGATGCTGGCAGGCTCTCAGAAGAACTTCTTGTCCTGATTTGATACTTCTTCAATAGCTTGCTGAAGGATGTTTCTTTTTATTTTCAGCCTAAATTCATCCCTGAGTTTATAAGGTAATTGTTTTAATAATAGTGGATAACGAGGTCATTAAAACTTGATAACAGCAATATTTGCCCAAATACTGTAGTTTTTCTCATTTTTAGATAGAATGTGTTTTGAATTGCAACTTGATACAAGTTGTTTCTTTGTTATTTGATACAGAAAGCAGAAGGAGAATGACTATGATATTGTGTCTGGAACAAGGTACAGTGGTAATGGTGGAGTCTTTGGATGGGATTTAAAGCGAAAACTTATAAGGTAAAATAGGCAATGCCATTTTATTGTGCAACAAGGCCATTATCATACCCTGATTCTTATGACAGTTTCCCAATGGAAAAATCAAAAGCTCTTGTTGGTAACGAATAAGGCTTTGATTTGATTGGTTCAAAAATTCCATTGTGCCATCAGTATGCATGTACAGGTGTATTGTATGACCCAGATTTTGGTATTGTTCCCAGCCATAGCTTTTCATTTTCCGTTGGTATGAGAATGCAACAAAGCATGATAAGAGTTGTAGTCCTCACACTTTTTATAGTCCTTTAAATATCTCTCTAAACACCAATGTGTATGTTTTCTTTGTAGAAATGGCCCACATACTTATGTATTCATAAAGTAAAAGCAAAAGTGGCTTAGGATGACTTTTTTGCCAGGAGCGAAAAAATGCGAGGACTAGAACTCCCATCATGCTTTGCTGCAAAAAATCAGGGTGTTGCATGTTACCTATTGGAAAAAATATAATACTAGAATTAGCAAGTGCCATAATGAATCCACAAATGAATCTAATTTATAACAAAAAAAGCCTGGTCTCTATTGTTTGTTTATGAACTAAAGTAAATGGTTCACTAATACAATTTTTAATCCTAGATATGAAGTAATAATTGTGTGAGAATTTGTTTTTTCCAGCCGTGGTGCGAATTATCTTACGCAAATACTTCTGCGTCCAGGAGCCTCTGACCTGACTGGAAGTTTTAGGTAATGAAGAGCAAATAATATATATTATGTTTTGACTTCGTTACTCTTTATATTAGTTTGGCGCATGGTTTTTTATAGCACATGCTTTTTTGGCTTTTGCCGTGCGCGCTTTTGACTTTTACGCGCGGATTTGGAAGGTTGTGTTTTCGTAGTTTCTTTGTTGGTTGTGTTTGTTGGTCGCTTAGGATTTATAGAGAGTGGCGCGTGCAAAACACTCAGTTTGCTGACGAAGGCTGAAGTGCCGAAACGTCCAATAAACAGAGTTATTATAGCTTCAAGTTGGTGTTTTGTTCTATTTCATTCTAATTATTATATATAAATTATATATATATTTGGAATTGAGCAGTTTTTGGTAATGTGGTAATACACAAAATATTTTATTTTATTTTATTGTTTTTAACATTATTTTATAACACTCTTCGTAAGTTAACCTTTCTCCGGACCCCAACTTCCTCCCAATGCATTGAGACCTTGTTATATGCATTTTTAAGAATTAAATTATTGTTTTTATTATAATTCTACGTTATATTTTAAAGATTGTACAAGAAGGATGTGCTTCAAAAGCTAGTTGACTCGTGTGTGTCAAAAGGATACGTCTTTCAAATGGAGATGATTGTMAGAGGACGACAATTAGGATATTCAATAGGAGAGGTAAGTGTAAATTGTTCCATATTTTGGACTTCTCTTGATCCTTTGCATGCACCAGAAAAAAATACAAAGATTAACGACTGAGTATGAGGCTGTTTCATATGCTTGAAACCTATACAGTTGTTCACTTTTAATAGTTTTCTCTGTCATATGTCCTCTGTTAATGTCATTATCAATATTTTTAAGCCTCTTTTCTGTTATTTTATCCTCACATTTTATGTGTTTTAACAGTTAAAACTTTTTCATTTTTTATCGTTTCAGGTCCCTATTTCATTTGTTGACCGTGTGTACGGCGAATCCAAACTTGGCGGAAGTGAAATCATCCATTTTGCTAAAGGCCTTTTATATCTTTTTGCAACCACATGACATTTAACAATAAGAACAATAATTATTATTAGCTATTATTATTGTTAGTTAGATTTCTATCGATGAAATGTAATGAAATGCTGCATTCTCCAAATGCATCATGGGATTAGATGGGCTATATGCCGGAGTGATAATTAGAATCACTGCGTTAATCACGTTTCATATTTTGAGCGTTTTTGTAAGTAAGAAATATATAGGTATAAAAGGGATGACTATATAACAATTTCATTTCCTTTATTTGTTCGTTTCTTTATTTTTTGCATTAAGGCGAAGGTACTAACACAAGCTCTGGTGCAGCATTCACGAGTATCCGGAGATTTCCGGAATCGTATATTATGATTTGCGCAAAGCAGAAAGCGATCATCGTCTTTCGGTGATGTCAATGCCCTAAGCCCAAACGCATTAAAAATATGCGGTTTTGAAAATAAAAATAATAACGCCCCGTTCTTTGGCGTTTGTATGTAAATTCGTTGGGTTTTTTTTTCGTGCTAGTCGAAGAGCCTATTTCTCGTTTGTTTGAAAATTTTAAAACATAGCTTAAAAGTCAATTTGACGTTTGGCGCTCGCCCTAAATGTGGTAAATCTCCTGATAGCTGTGCCAGTTTAATCGTGTGATGCGTTATTATAATTAATAGTTATTATTTTAACAATTATTAATAGTGCAGAGGGAAACCACTCTAATAAACTAGCTGCGCTTTCTTTGTTTGAGGATGGTTGGGTAATCGGGTTCAATTTTTTTGTAGTGCATAATTTAGTTTGTAATATGAATATAGTGAAATACATAACTTTGTTTTCACGAATGGAATGAATTTTATCCCCTTCAAACCTGATTTTCTTTTTGATCATTTTTAAATTTCAAGAAACTAGTCCTCTGTGTATGAGAATCCACCTTTTGACAAAAAAAAAAAAAACAGTGCAAAAAGAGAAATTTTCAAAGTATCTTATGGAATTTTAGGGAACTTTGCCCCATGAATAAAGTCATGAGTAAATGTATCCTTTAGCATCATGGTTGAGATCATATTAGTTAAGGAATAATATGCCTCTTGTTATTCCCTGGCGATGCTGTAGTACAGCGAAAGCTTGGACTCAAAATACATATATATAACTTCATTACAGCCCTGGCTACATTTGTACGCATTTGCAGGAGAAGCCAACGGGGTCTGTTCTTCTAAATAACTGTTCTTGTACGAATGTTTTCCTGGGAAAGTGATTTTAAGCTACATTGTTGACAATCTCAAAAGCAAATGTGGCGCCCTTACTTCTTTAAGATAATTTTGTCCCTGGAAAACGTTTCTAAGGTCAAAAAGACTTATATAAAGTTTTTATGGCCAAAAACGGTTTAAATTGTTTTAGTTAAGAAACCTTTATTTTCCTGGCTAAAATTCTTAGAAAGTATTCCTTGCCTGGAAAGGTTTTTTTTTCTAAATTTCTCGCTGGCAGGCCAGTAGTGATTTACAGCTGGCTGGGACATAAGAACACATATATTTCTCCCAGAAAACCATCGGCTCCTCCTGCATTTCTATCTATAGTGTTATGAGTTCGTTCAGAATAACGTTTTCTTAGAATTGCATCTATAGAATTGTTCATCAGTGTACCTTATATTAGGATAATATAACAAATCGGCATGGCGCTTTGTTGGCATGTCAGCGCTGGAATCACACACTGCATGAGATAACATGTCTTTTGTAAAACTTGAATAACTGAAAGGACTTCAATAAGTTACCGAAGTAGGCTATTTATAAAGGTGTTGTTAATTAAACACTGACAAACAAAGACTTTAGAAAGAACTGGATGCCTTCAGTGTTTCTTGTTTTTTTTATAGGTTGTCTTTTGTTGCGAGACAAGTTGTCAATGCTTTGCTTTGAAAAACAACTCTGTTCCGCAACAAGTTGAGCGGATTTGTTTTGCCTCACTTTTTTCTCAGCCTTGTGAATTTACGTTGCTATGTCATAAACTACCAATGTTTAGTGAGTAAGAATGGGTCCCACATTCTCATACTCAATGGGTTTTGAAATTTGAGATGAGAAAGTGTGGTCCGACTCCACTATATTTTCTTTTTAAATTTTAATCGTTATTTTTGAAAATACGTTTTGTATTGTATAGGATTGATCAAGTCAGCTAGCAGGTGATAGACACGCCTTTTCTTGGAAACTCTGCTCATTCTGGCATTTAGAGAGTTATTTTAAATGTGTCACAGCAATAGGGGTCAATTCCTGAATAGTTCGAACACTTATTCTTTGAAATGATGAATAATACAGTTATAATTTTTTGAAAATACGTCATTAAATTCAACTAGTTCTTTGAGGCTCTAAGAATTCTTTTCTGCACTTGTAAACTCCAATGAACAAATCTGTATGGAGTGGATAATGGAAAATTGAGTTGTCAGCATGTTGCCGCGCCCATATTGATCTGTACCGACGATGGAATGGGATTGCACTGCAAGAGATTACCGCGTCTTTTCTCCTAATCGTGAATACCTACGTGAACATCATGACTAGCTTCAACTATCTTCTTAAAACGCTTTTTAAAAAGTACAGAACAGTACAGTGGTTTTCAAAGAGACGAAACAAAGAATCTTGAGCGTAATCACGGTGCGCACCGTTAGGCATCATGCAGTCAAGTTTTTAGATTGTAAAAGTTATTGACATTTCTCAGATGAAGTGTTTTTGGCATCATTTGCAATCGAATTGAAATGAAATAAAATTGAAGTTGTTCTAGTGGGGTTATAATAATAATGCAATACGAATAAGTTTACTAATGATAACAGATTGTATAGGTCTGAAAATAGTAATGTGAAACTTTTTGAGGCGAGAGAGCACCTCATGGCGAAAAGCCTCTTAAAAACATGTGTAGCTTGGCGATTTCATATAATTGCCGCGTATCCAATGGGATATGAAATTCGACGCTTGTTGCATTAAGTATTTATGAGCGAAGCCAAAGGGTAGGGCTGTTATTACAAACTCAAGCAAAGCTTTTCAGGTGAAATACTATTTTTCCAAGAAAACCTTTTCTTGCGATTGGCATAACTCTTTGACCGACTGTATCATCATGGCCAAACAAGTTATCATGCAGAACAGAAATATTCTTATATTGGGTCGAACAGGAGCTGGAAAAAGAACCGTGGCGAACAAGATCGTCGATTCAAACATCTTTGAACCAAGTATCTCTTCAATGAAAAGTGCCACAAAAGAAGCGACATTCGTGACTCGTACTAATGTAAGAGATGACGATCGAAAGCTACTCTATAACATCGCTGTATTAGACACTTACAGTACTGAAACTTCGGGAACTAAGAAAATTTCCCAAGACGTTTTAGGCTGCCATCCTGAGGACGGTCCAGATGGAATCAACTTGGTCATTTTCGTTTTGAGGAAAGGCATATATGAAGATAAAGAGCTCCAAATGTTCAATTCGATCATAAGTGACCTCAATATTTGCGACATTTCTGCACTGGTCATCACTGGTTGTGAAAGCCTTGAAGACGAAGAAAGGAAAGATCTCGTAGAAGAGATTAAAAGGGAAAGCTCAACGAGATCCATCGCAAGGTCCATGGGGAAGGGAATCTTTCCGGTTGGATTTCCACCACTTGATAAAGTGAAAGCGTCTTATAGAGAAATCTATCAAGATGGAATTGCTGCAGACTCTGAAACACTGAAAGATCTTGCCAAAAATTCTGGTGAGGTGACTCTACGAATGGCAGATGTTCTCAAAAAAGTGAAAGAGTGCGACAAATCTTCTGAGGGGTTTCATCGTGCTATTTTACGGTGGTGTGAGATATTGTAATACCCTCATCTTTCTTGACTCGTAATAAATTTCAACTGTAAGAGTATGCCTGTACAAACTTACATCAGTAGTATAAATTGTTACATCTAGCTGATTTCAGTTTAAGAAAACTTTATTCTCCAAAGAAGTTTAACAACATTTTATTACAAATGAGAAAATTCATCTAAGGTCAGATAGACTATGTCAGTAATCGTAATAGTCTCAATAAACTTGAATTACAGTATTTAATGTCCAGTATCCTTAACTGAGTTATTTTAATACTTCGGTGTGGTTGCTTCAGTGTTCAAAGGATGATGCAGCTACTTGCCATTTCCCAGATTGTTGGTTCAAAGAGTTTTTTGCCGAGACGCATTTCATCAGCTTTTTTCACCAGATCTCTAAGCTTTTCCGTGTCCTTTTCAATGTCTTCTTGAAAAGCAGCTCTTAGTTTTTGCTTCACTTTTTGAATGTCGGGGAAGCCCACTGCATGAATGCCTTTCTTCATGAAGTTTGCAGTTGCTCTTTGGCTTTTTGTGAAGTCTTCAATGATGTCTTGTCTTCCTTCGTCGTCGTCATTCTCACAATTGGTGATTACTAAAGTAGAGATTTCCGAGATGTCGTTCCTAAAGTTTTCAGTGATGTAGTTGAAGGTGTCCTCTTCTTCCTGGGTGAAACGTCCCTTTCTGAAGACAAACATCACCAAAGTAATCCCTTCAGGTATAACATCGTTTAAGTACACTTTTATTCTATCCATGATTTCTTTGTTCATAATTTTGTGATAAAGACTAAGTCTATGGTCGAACAGGCCAATTGTGTCTATGACTTTGAAATCGTATCGTACGTTAGTTTCTGGATCATCCATCGTAGTTTCGCAATGGCTAACTTTGGGAGTGCCACTTTGGGATGTATGAAATACGTCGAAGTTACCATATCCAGCAATTTTGTTAGCAACTGTAGATTTCCCTGTCCCTGTTTTGCCGATAACTATAACATTGCGCTTCTGGACTGGTTTAGGTTGAGACATGGTTGAATCAAGTCTGATAGCAACTCTGTACTGAAACTCCTTACCCTGGGCCTGGAAGTATAGATTCCACTTATAGGTCGTTGTGAATGCCTTAAGAAAGCAGAAAACACTGAAGTGATTAACTGGTTTTACCGGTTTAGATGTCAATCAAAATCCTTTTTGACCAATCCCAAGCTTGTGAGTATATAAAATATATCCAATTCATCCTACAATTTAAGGTTCAGCACATTCCTTGTACCCCCTGTCAGTCTAACTAAACCAGTTCGGCTAAACCGGTTACATCTGGTTTTGTCAGTTCTCAGAATTAATGCTCAAGTATTGTATTTCATTGTATTGTCTTTTCGTGGATGACTTAAGAAAATACTATTTTTTAAAATGAGTGCGTACCATTTTTTCATGTATTTTTTTCAAAAGGTCGTAACTGAACATCCATTTTTTTATTTCAGTTGGCGATATATCATTTTGAAAAGCTAAACTGGTGGGTATAAATTACGAGATATAAATTATCGCAATCCCAATTAAAGATTTGCTATCGTGTACAAGGCATATAGGCCTTGATATAACGGTTTGTACTATAATACGCGGGGAGTAGGAGGGGGAAGGGGGCAGGCGCGTAGCGTGGAGTTTTTGGCTAGTACGCACATGTCAGGGAGCGCGACACATAGTTTGGATTTGGTGGCTACCGACCGCCGAAGGCATGCAGGAATATTAGGGAGATCTGGGGGTCCTCCACAGGAAATTTTGAAATAATAACCCCTAGAAATGCGATTTACGGCGTTTTGAGGTTATCTTTAATAACGAAGACTTTGTGCGAGAAGGCAAGCAAAGACATTTATATAAGAATTTATATAAGAAAATCCCGAAAATTTCCTTGCCACAGACGACTACTTTTACATCTTTAGGCGTCGAAGTAAATTTGCAAAGCTGTCCAAAGCCCCTCCTTTTTAGGGTAAAAGCCATTTTTGTGTTTTCTTGGTAGAAACGGTATAATTACTTCTATACATTTGAAAAAGCTTAATAGGAGGACTGCTAATGAAAACGGGAGGGAGGACTATAAGTACCATCATGCTTTGTTGCACAAAATATGTCGCTCTACGTACGCATTAACTATGACGTACGTTGCCCCTTTGTCTTCTTGGTTTTCCATTTTTTTCATATCACTTTTCAGCTAGTAGCTCTGTTGATGATTAAATCTTTGGTTATAAAAGTATAGTGTGGATGATATATGAAATAATATTTCTTGATTTTGATTCGTTGGTTTTTCCTTGGGCTTCCTGTGGTAAAAAAATGCATGCGCACTAAGAAATTAAAGATGGCCGACAAATCGAATGTGATTACTGTTGTTATTTAGCGATTTTGCCTTTGCTGAAACAGGAGATCAAGCCCTGTTTTTTATTTGGAAAATGCCTAAAACTATCTTTTGAGGTATATGTTTTTATGCGGCTTTGGTGWTGAGTGCTGTTTTCGACTTAAACAAGACGAAACAATCAAGTTTTTGAAGCTCATTCAAGACTGCTTCAACGTTGATTTTACGTTCTTGTTCAACTTACTTTAGAGAAATTCCAGGATGTCTGCCTCGGCATTTGAAGGAGGAGGCTTTGACAAGCTTGAAGGATCAACTRAAACAACAGGAGGACTTATTATCAAGAAGACAGCGAGTAAACACAAGTTTGAAACTCCAAAAACAAGCATGCTTGGACTTCAAAAGTTAGCGCAAGAAAAACGAAAAGAAAAGGAAAAATTGCTGCGAGAGGACGCTAAAAAATCTAAAATTTCATCAGAGAGAAGTAGGACAGACGATTTAGATAATGATGATAACACAGAGAGAAGTAAAGCTCGTTTTGGYGCTGGAAGCCGCGAGCAAAGAGAGAAATCGCGACATTATCGTTCACATGTTGAGGATACTCCGACTTACACCGGTGGTGTGAGCAATGAAGCTCGAGAAAAACAGCTGAGAAGAATGGAGCGTGAGAGAGAAAGAAGAGGGCATGGTGTTTTTGCAGAAAGCAAGGATCGAAAAGACAAAGATAGAGACAGGGACAGATATGACAGACGGAATGACAGAGGGAGAAGTGAAAGATCACGGAGGTCAAATGAACCAAGGTCAAGACGAAGTGACTGGGAAGAAACTCCATCAAGGAGCAGTAGATCAAGTGAAAGAGAGGATTATACTCCACAGCATAAATCTAAAAGTAAGCAATGGGTTTACAGTAGTGTTTTACTAGATGATAAAATATATCCAATTTTATTGCGGCTTTTCAATCAAGTCCTTGAGATTTCAAAAGACAAACACGCTGTGGTCATGTTGGTAGTGTGAACACTTGACTTGATAATAATGGCAAGTCATTTGTCAATGAACTATCAACATGGTTGCAGTGATTTTACAGAGTCAGTCTAAGTATATAGAACACTGTACATGGAACATTGCTGCTTGATCATTGTGTCAATGGTGTCACTTCTGCTAGACCCATGAACTCATTGAATATTGCATTTGTGACATTGGCTGTGTGTTCTTTGTAAAGGTCGCCTTAATGGTTCCTTGCGTCATCTTGAAAGGTAGATGTGAGTTGAGCATGCATTGCTACTTTCACACCTACAGACAATTGTTCACAGGTATCTATCATTGCACACTCAACAGTAGTCAAGCGTTGACACAAAGGCACAGCTATCTTTCAAGATGACACAGGGACCCATGAAGAAGACTGTTGTTAAATATGAGATAAAGGAATCTATGGTTACAATATAATGATGGATTCTGTATCACTTAGGTCTAAGGACGCCATCAAGAACTTCATGGGATGACGATGAATCCTCCACATCATCAGTGTCCAAATGGGACTTGCCGTCTCCTGCAAGATCTGTTTCTGATGACACTGAYAAAGGGTATGGAATTGTATTTGTTGTTTTGGCACACTTAGTTTCTTTTAGGTGGATMGTATTGTTCAAAACATAATTGATGTTTTGCATGTACTTTTTTTGAATCAGCAATTGCTTGTTTGGTGTTAGCGACAAGAACTGATTTCAATTTTTAGTTTTTGTTTAAGATTAATACATGTAACTCATACAACATATTTTTTTACATATTTCTTTACCATTGATCATGGAATTTGTACCACACTTACTTCAATTATCTGTACTAAAACTTTGCCAACAACTAGAAGAGCAAAATATGAATGTCAGTCTACAGAAGAAATACATATCATCCTAATATTAATATACAGATGAAACATCCTGCATACATGTACATGTATTTGAATTGATGTTCTTATTATATTTTATACAAATTATCAGATTGCAAAGGTTTTCAGCATCAAATCCTTTGTGAAATTTTGTCCAATTTCTTACTAAGCACATCCAGCAGTTTGTTATAGTTGCAAGTTTTCAATCTTTAGTTAACAGATCATCTTCAGGAATATCTTTTTCTATTGGAAGTACATGTATCAATGTTAGATGTCATTTTTGTCGACTAGATATTCCAGACTTCCTGACGATACTCCTCGATTTACACCCACTCATAAGTACAATGCATGGGCTGATGATAGAAAGCATTCTGGTGCTACACCAAGATTCTCTAAGGGAAAAGGTACTGAAATAACACTTAGATACAATAGTTTATCAAAGAGATACGTGATATAGAAATAAAGGAAAGTTATAGTGCTTAGAAGGAGGTTATTCTGTGAGAAAAACCCTTGGAAATAAATTCTGAAAGATTTATTTCCATCTGAGCGATCTTCATATTCATATATTTATCAAAAAGAGATGCATTTGAGATACTAGTAAAAAGGTAGCATAATATGTATTAAGGCATTTACTTCCATTTGCTTTGCTACTGTATGTGACCAAGCAGTTAAAACCTCTTAACTGCAATTAAGAATAGACTGCTGTCAATCAAGTAAAGTGCTCTGGCGAAAACCTTCCTTTTATTCCTTCTGCTCTTCCCATCATTCCTTTTTTTTCTCCATTTCTTGTTTGTTGTCTTTTTGCTTTCTGCAACTTATTTTCTGTTACACTGCAGGGAGAAGGMGAGACAGAGAAGACAGATCAGAAAGGAGTGAGCGTGATGAGGATGACAAAGAATCAAAAGCAGACTTTGATCAAGAAGAATGGGATGAAGAACAAAAGGTAATTATTGCAGCTTTACAAACAACAATAACAGTATAATAGTAGTATTAACAGCAGTAGCAACAACTACAACAACTATGACAACAATAACATCAGCAACAACAACAGCAGCAGCAGCAGGAACAATAACAGCAAGAATAATAGCAAGAATAATAGCATCAACAATGACAACAACAACAACATCAGCAACAACAACAATAGCAACAGCATCAATAGCAGCAGCAACAATAGCAACAATAACAGCAGCATCAACATTGACAGCAACAACAACAGCTGCAACAACAGCAATGACAGAAACAACAACAACAACAACAACTGCAATGACAGAAACAACAACAGCAACAACAACAACAATGACAGAAACAACAGCAACAACAACAGCAATGACAGAAACAACAGCAGCAGCAGGAACAATAACAAGAACAGCAAGAACAACAGCATCAACAACGACAACAACAGCATCAGGAACAACAACAATAGCAACAATATCAATAGTAGCAGCAACAATGACAGAAACAACAGCAACAACAACAACAATGACAGAAACAACAGCAACAACAACAATAACAGCAACAAAAATGACATCAGCAGTAGCAGCAAAAGCAGCATAGCAACAACAACAATAACCAATAATAACGATAACCATAATATTTGAAAACAGAGACTGGACAGGGCCTGGTACGATATGGACAGTGGCTATGATGAAACACACAATCCATTCGCAGATGTCAGTGATGAATACACCAAGAAGAAAGAAGAAAACTTGAAAAAGACAAGTGTCAAAAGAATGTCAGCCCAGCAACGGCAGTACAACAAGGTTTGCATTATCTTTCTAAATTAATTCTTTAAAACATTTTATTCCTATTTTTACTTGACCACTGTTAGGTAAGACATTATTTTTGCCTTGTATTTCAATACAACTTGATGCTTGACCATGGCAAGGTGATATGTCACGTAGCAAAGGAAGGAATATGAATTCTTTCTTATTTAAATAGTCTATAGCAATCCTAATAAACTTGACTTTTAAGCTTAAAAGCTTCAATGAGAAGCAATGGGCTGCTCACCAAACTCGAACTATGCCATAGATAAGATTTGATTCTCAGTTTCTTTCTAGTAATGATATCATTTACTTGACATTTCATATTTTTATCTCTTCTMCAGGATAATGAYATGTGGGAAACAAACCGTATGTTAACAAGTGGCGTGGTTCAGAAACTTGAAGTTGATGAAGATTTTGAAGAGGAAAGCGAAGCCAAGGTTCATCTGTTGGTTCATAACATYGTTCCACCATTTCTTGATGGCAGAATTGTTTTTACAAAGCAACCAGAACCAGTTGTTCCTCTAAAGGTACGTTTACTTACTGTCACTCAAATATAATCAAGCGGCCAATGGCGACACAACTCGAAGATTGTCAGACAATAAATCTGGACATAAGTCTGTATAAAGCCTCTTACGAAGGATGAGCATTAAATCACTAATCGACTTGGATCAGAATAATCCTTGATATCATCGTAATAGCAGTGCTGTATTTATGAGCCATATTCACACGATATCTCCTAAAACGACTTCTGAAATGAACAGATTCTTATACAAGAACTTCCAGACCTCAAAAATCACATTTTGTSTGTTYAAAAAKCCATTTCTGTATCAAAACACCTGGCCATCTTGGTTACGGATTTCTAAATGCCCGTATCTTTACAGAAAAAAATTAGTGACTAATTAACTATTCCCCCTCACACATCATCTCCCTCATCTCCCTCCTATAACTCTTCATTTGCTTCGCAATCTTCGAGTTAAAAAATGCATGTATGTGTTGTTTGTGTCTTTTTACTTCATTTGATTCCCAATCCACCCTTCTCTTTGGTAAGTAAATGGTGTAGGTAAGACCTGGTACAGACGTTGATCTTTTGCCATATCCAATCTAATTGATAGGTTTGTCAAAGTGAACAAAATCTACTAATGTCAATAAATTCAGAGTACAAAATGCACATAAACTCAACTCCACCAATTAGATTAGACTCGACAAAAGATCGACGTCTGAAACGGGCCTAAGTATACTCCATTGCCTTTGTCAATGTGACTAGTGCCAGGTGGTGGACGGTGGTTTGGTTACCATTGTTTCCTCCTGGTCATGTCCAGAAAGTTATAGCCTTGTCTGATAAACATGAATTTTCACAGGATCCAACATCTGACATGGCCATCATATCCAGGAAGGGTTGCCTGGTAGTGAGACGATTCAGAGAAGAAAAAGAGAGAAAGAAAGCGCAACAAAAGCATTGGGAGCTGGCAGGAACCAAGCTTGGAAATATTATGGGCATCAAAGAAGACAAAGGAGAGGTACATACAACTCACAGTTTTCAAGAGTGGAGGGGTGGGGAGATCCAGGAGGGTATCCAGGGGGGTGCTGTAGCTCCTCCTTTGAGCATAAAAAGTTAACTGTTTTTTTATTACTGTATTTTCAATGTTGTTTATAACATAAACATTTCAGCTGAATCCGCCCTAGTATTTCATAACCAAATTCATGAAAGATTTTCTTTACTAACTGGAAGATAAAGATAAATGTGTAATTGAATTGTGATCAGTGCAGTGCAATAAGAACAATCTAAGAGACTGCTAATAAATGGATGGCATGAAAAAGTAATTGGCTTCAATGGCAATTGAACTCATGATGCTGTGTGATGCCTTTTGCAGTGATTTATCAATTGAGCTATGAAGCCAACTATGTTGGCGAGCTGTCATTTCATTATTAAATTTCTTGTTCTTATTTCACTGCAACAAACACTATACTCCATTTTCGAATTCAAAGCAAAATCCTGCTGCTTCATTTAAGAACAAATCGAAAATGGAGTATTTACTAAAGACATTTATTTGCTGTAGTTCGGACCATAATTTCAATAACAATAAACCTTCTTATCTTCAAAATGTCTGATATTTTTCACAGGAGCTAGATGTACCAGAAGATGACTACAAAAAGAATCAAAAGTTTGCCGAACACATGAATTCAACCAGCGAAGCAACAAGTGATTTTGCTACCAAGAAAACACTGTCSCAGCAGAGACAATTTCTGCCAATATTTGCTGTCAGACAAGAAGTAAGTGTACACCTACAAAAAAGAAACAAAATGATTATATGCAGCTATGATTTGGGTTGGATAATAACTTTGAATTGCGTTTAACAATGTTTCAAGAGAGACAGGACTCAAAATAATGACTAGGGCATACGTGTATGAAGGCCAAGATGACCTTTCAAATTTATTTTGGGCYAAGTCATTATCATATGAAAGGTTACCGGTAAATTACAAATGTACTGTCATCTTGCCTAATATCCAATTGGGTCTGTAAAGTGGGAAGTTTGGAGGGTTGGTGATTGTTCTTTGACCTAGTGCCCTTATTTCAAGTTTTTGAAAGAATTGCAAATGAAAATTATCAAATGAATGTTGCATAGCTGAAGGAACTATGATGATTACATTGGATATACCAAGGCAGTAATTGTGCCTACATTGTAGATTAATTTTTTTTGTTGTTCTCCACGCCAAATAATTTGTGTAATATTGTTTTTTTTATAGTTATTGAGTATTGTTCGTGACAACCAGATAGTAATTATTGTTGGTGAAACAGGATCTGGTAAAACTACACAATTAACACAGGTACAGTTATAAATGAAAGAAATTACTAAACCTTAAATATCATAAACGACCATAAAATGCCAACAAACCAAAATTACACTGACAGATTTATACGTTATGTTTCAGTACATGCACGAGGATGGTTATACMAATTATGGCATGATTGGTTGTACACAACCACGTCGTGTTGCAGCYATGTCAGTTGCCAAAMGAGTCAGTGAAGAAATGAACTGTAAGCTRGGRGATGAAGTYGGCTAYGCAATTAGATTTGAAGAYGTTACMTCAGAGGTATATTAGTGCAACTYCACWACCATGAACACCTCAACTAATTTTTGTAATTGTGACTGTTTGACAAATGGCAACATAAACCAGTAAGGCTTAGGAATAAAMCATRCAAAAACTTTTCAACTTGTTCTGGGAACATTGTTGCTGTTCAAGCTTGGARTCAAGAATGTTTCTTGCTTTACATCTTGTGTCAGCACCAGAAACTTGTCATGAAATTAAAAAAAAACTTGAACAAGGGAYTAGAAAGAGAAGACCTTTCTTCTGACATAGACAATTCTCTCAATATATCTCCATTACTTTTGTTACATCTGTAAGCATTTCATCTTCACATTAATGTATCTTTCCTGCATTATTTCCCTATCAGAAAACAATGATCAAGTATATGACGGATGGGATTCTGTTGAGGGAGTCTCTACGGGAATCAGACTTGGACCACTACAGCGTCGTCATCATGGATGAAGCTCACGAGCGCTCACTCAACACCGATGTGTTATTTGGTTTACTTAGAGAGGTAACGATTATTATTCTATGTTAGTCTTGGTTTTCACATGATGTCACAGCAGACATATTGGTGTCCAGCAAAGAAAAGATTTCTCATTAGAGTCTATCAGTTATGTACTTCACAACAAGGTGGCTGAATATTTTGTTGCTTGTTTCTAATGGGGTTGATAGTCATGTGACTTCATGGCGATGAATTAAAATGTACAGGTTATTGAATGTTTGAATGTAGACTTACAGCAGAAATCGTTGCATCGCGACTTCTTTGTTTTGAAGTTTGTCTGGATTTTGTTTTGTGTTTTGGGGCGGAGCTTTTCGAAAACTCGTTCAATCATTGGCTGATTAGTATCAAACTCTGCCCCCAAGTCGCAGAAAAATCTAAATCCCAACTATTTCCTTTGAACATCGAAGTCGCGATGCAACGTTTCTGCTGCAAGTTCTTGGGCCCAAGAAACCTGTAAAGAAGAGAGTCTCAGTTATACAAGTATTTTTGTTGCAACAAGTTTGTCAAGCAATGCAGACATTACCTAAACTTACTGCTTCGTGTTCTTATTGTTTTCAGGTTGTGAGTAGGAGACGTGATTTGAAACTCATTGTAACATCAGCCACTATGGACGCACAAAAGTTTGCCGACTTCTTTGGAAATGTACCTATTTATAAGGTAGAGTTGTTTAAGAAATGAATGATTAAATTGATAGCTGGAAAAATGGATGGATGGGCAAATAAAAAACGATGAATAGGGCCATTTTTATTTGACAGTGTAGTGAAAATGACCTTTTAGTTACTAATTTGTTTATAAAAAAAAACACAATTTTATTATGTAGATTCAGAGTATAAATCAACTGTTAGTATTTGTATATTTGTAATGTCATATAGGTGTCGTTTTAGATATCTTTTTATATTCCTTATTTGTATTTGTATTATTATTTGTTTTCGTTATTAAAAATTTGTATTTAAAAACAAAACAAAAAAAACTGTTAGTCTCACAAGAGTCGTTTTCATCTGAATTGCAATTAAAATGATTATTTAGTTTAGTATTTGTTGGTAAAGAACAAAAGAAATCAATAGATTCAGAGTGTGATGACAACTGTTAGTCTCACTAAATTTTCACTGTCAAATGAAAATGACTCTCTATAGAAATATAATACAAGTATGGGGCCAAATACTAGTGCAAATGTAATAAAAATCCCTAGCTTTCATTGGGTAACATTCCATAGTGTATGGCTGCTATACTATGTTTCTAGTGTGACTTTTACAGTAATTTATAGAGGGGATTTCGTRTGACTGTGCAAAAAACACGCTACTTTCACACTGTGTTCGTACCGTGCCGTAGCGGTAATGTGTTGTTAAATCTTTGTTTTTATTTGGGATCCTAGAAGGCGAGGTTCCGTGAACATGCCATTGCACTGTCACACGAAATCCGCTCTAATGAAACTGTTACTAACAGTATTACAGCATGTGTTAAGACAGCAAAGTATTACAGCCTGTGACCTCATCATGAGACAAATGATTATTTGATAGACTATTTGTATTTGTTGTGTAYCACAGATCCCWGGACGTACGTTCCCTGTAGATATTTTCTTTAGYCGTACTGTACTGGAAGATTATGTTGAAAGTGCAGTTAAACAGGCACTTCAAATTCACCTCACRCCAACCAAAGGTAARGACAACTGTTATGCMCCCTCCTAATTATCCCCTTCACGGTTACGTGCGCAATCTTCAAARGTAGCCGTGTCTTTACATCGAAGCGAGACAACTGTTGAGTGTGCAATGATAGAAACCTGTGAATAGTAGGCCTAATCGGCTAACGGCGTTGCTATGTATGTTGCCACCCAATTCAAATCCTGTGAGAAAAAGAACTTTTGTTTCTAATAATTCAACTGTGAAATGAAAATACAACGAGCAATGAAACTTACTCTCGGGTGGTTTGAATTGAGTTGACGCCGATTAGGGCTATTGTCTGTAGGTTTGAAAGAAGGTTTCTATCATTGTACACTCAATGGTCATCTTGTTTCGATGTAAAGGCATGGCGACCTTTCAAGATGGTGCAGGAAACCATGAAGAAGACTTCTATAAAATGCAAACTTAGGAACCTACAGATAGTAACACATGTGGAGCATTTACCATGTTAACATATTAATCCTCGTTTGTGAGGGGCAGGCTGTATTGGTAAATAAATAATAAATAGAGTGGCGAACCACAGATTAAACACATATCAATGAAACCTCTTCCAATAATTATGCACCATAATCATCATGTTTCCCCTGYGGTGTCAAGAGACAACCTTGAGTTGCTATTGCTGGAAACGTGCATCCAGAAATTGCTTTAAGTCTGTCTTCTTCATCATAATTTTCCTTGCTTGCTGCGCATCGACAGCAAGCTCCTTTTCAACTCTGTCCTATATTTTCTTCAGGGTTGAAATGTTGAATAATAGAGAGTTTAAGCATCTGGCAAATGGCTAATGGCAGAGCTGAACCAATGACCTAAGAATTTCGTACCTGACCTTGTTCTTTTGGTAGTCATTTGAAAGAGTGGCTTTTCAAGATTATGGCAACTCAAACTAACCCGCTCTCGCGTTGAARCTGCAATGTTAAACTCCAAAAAAGCAGATCACGTGATCTTTTCTGCCGTTTGCCGTGAACGTCATGCTAAACCTCTATTAATGTAGTGGTTTCTTGAGGGTGTTGTTATCAAGCCTACATACATGATGATGAATAAAATGATTTCACTGTAGTTACAGTTGATGAAATCTGCTTATTTTTGTAGGTGATATGTTGATTTTTATGCCTGGCCAGGAAGACATTGAAGTCACCTGTGAGCTTATAGCAGGTAAACGTTGTTTACTCTAGTCTCAGACAATAATGCTTTTAAATATTATAAATTGTTTTCACTCCTTTTGTTTGCAATGTAATAAGGTATATTATAAAACAACTATTATATAAAACACTAATCTTATTGATTGGTTGAAATCCGTGCCAAAAATCTGTGCAAATGCTACACATTTGATACACACAACAAGTCAATTTGATACACATTCGATCCATATTTGGTACACTTAAGAACATAGAAACAGCTCATCTTCAAAACCTTTCTTATGTCCTCATACATGTAACAATCCTGCATGTTTATAAAAGAAAATGAAAAGGTGGAAAACATCTTCTAATGATTAAATAGACAATTGTTAAAAAKAACACCTTATACATTCATAATTCTAAAAAAAATATTGATATTATTATGTAATGTTTTTCTTCTTCTTTGACATGCACAGAGAGACTGAGTGAGGTCGATGAGGCACCTCCATTAGCTGTTCTTCCCATCTATTCACAACTACCATCAGATTTACAGGCAAAGATTTTCCAGCGAGCACCAGATGGTGTTCGTAAATGTGTAGTGGCGACTAATATTGCCGAAACATCATTAACAGGTAAGGTTATTTCATGCAAGTCTGTTAAAAACATTCTTGAAGGCGACCAAGGGCCATAGGAGACGGAGAGCCAAAGTCGGAAATCTGCAGATTGACTGCTTTCCTCCTTGCTGTAATCATAGTTAATAGAGAGGACCTCTCTATTAACTATGCTGTAATGCTAGTCAAGAACACGTTGTATAATAGATTGGGGTTTGGGGAAGACATGGCTTACCATATAGAACCTTTCTTGACAGTGACATGCGGTATGGTTAAAGTACAAAAGTGCTGTATATCATATCTTCATTCATATAGCATAAAGGGATAATATAGAGTACATTTTTGCTTATATTTTGATGTAGTTTTATTTCAAACATAAGAAGAAGCTCAGAAGGGATTCTGGTGGACTATGGCTTTTTAATTAGTGTTACTGATTGTTATACACCCTCTTGATAAGTCCCGAGGTTTTGTGTTCTCCGCACTTGACGTCAAATTTATTGTTTGAATTCCTTTTGTATTGTAAAAATTTCTAAAGAATAAATTTAACGTCAAGTGCGGAGAACTCAATACCTCGGGACTTATTAAAAGGGTGTATAGTGGTGGTGTTCAAAAAAGTTGTGATAAGATGGTGTCTTTGATGACAACAAACCTTGATGGCTAAAGATGACGATTTTCTAACATGGTGTCCTTTTGTTTTCTAGTGGATGGAATCATGTTCGTCGTGGACGCTGGCTACTGTAAACTCAAAGTATACAACCCTAAAATTGGTATGGATGCATTGCAAGTATACCCTATTAGTCAGGTAAAGCATTACTCAGATTTTATAGTCATTTTAAAGGAACCATGGNCGTAAATGTGTAGTGGCGACTAATATTGCCGAAACATCATTAACAGGTAAGGTTATTTTATGCAAGTCTGTTAAAAACATTCTTGAAGGCGACCAAGGGCCATAGGAGACGGAGAGCCAAAGTCGGAAATCTGTAGATCGACTGCTTTCCTCCTTCCTGTAATGCTAGTCAAGAACATATTGTATAATAATTGTGACACAGATTATAGTTTGGGGAAGACATGGCTTGGAGGTTACCCCATAGAACCTTGCTTGACAGTGACATACACCCTTTTAATAAGTCCCGAGCTTTTTTATTCTCCGCACTTGACGTCAAATTTATTGTTTTGAATTCCTTTTGTATTGTAAAAATTTCTAAAGAATAAATTTGACGTCAAGTGCGGAAAACTAAATACCTCGGATGTATAGTGGTGGTGTTCAAAAAAGTTGTGATAAGATGGTGTCTTTGATAAAAACAAACCTTGATGGCTAAAGATGACGATTTTCTAACATGGTGTCCTTTTGTTTTCTAGTGGATGGAATCATGTTCGTCGTGGACGCTGGCTACTGTAAACTCAAAGTATACAACCCTAAAATTGGTATGGATGCATTGCAAGTATACCCTATTAGTCAGGTAAAGCATTACTCAGATTTTATAGTCATTTTAAAGGAACCATGGGCACTCTGATCTCCTCTGGCGACCGTAA